GATAGATAGATAGATAGATAGATAGATAGATAGATAGATAGATAGATCTTCTATAGAAGCTGTGGCTGATGTTAAAGAGGTGGCTGTAGAATTGGCTCCTTTCTGTATTTATTTAAACTCATCATATCAGCAGCGTTTAATCCTGCATGATTCAAAGCATGCTTCTTATTTTATTTATTTAAAAAGAAGGCAAAGGAAACCAAAACCACATTGCCAACCACATTTAAACTTTTTAATTATCCAAATCAATAAAATATGATATATTTCTGAAGATTTTTTATTTATAAATAAATATAAATAAACCTTTATAATGATAAAAATAATTATTATCATTATAATAAAATAAATGTGCTTAAAACATTGTTTAAACCTTTTAAAAAAAGAAAAATTTACTTAAAATTAAATTTAAATTAGAATGCAATTAAAATGTCATCTAATTCAAATGAAAATGTAATTAAAACCCATGAAGAATCTAACCAAAGCAAAGCGTTAGCTAGCTTAGCTACTAGCATCAGCAGAGCTGCTGTTAGCTTTAGCTTTAGCTTGCGTGGCACATCCTCCCCACCACAACTTCTGTCCTCATGCAGAATTCAGCAGCTGCCGAGTTAGGAAACAAGCATCAATGTTTCAGGAGCAGAGCGGGACTTTATGTGGGCGCCTGGGAAAAGTGGGAGGAGCCACATCACCATCACGCCGGCTCAGACGTGTCCGGGCCGCCAGTTGGGCTTCACCCAGACTGAGCAAATGTGGAGGCCAAAACAGACCCCGGCAGCTCAAGAGACCCGGCTCCAAAGAGGGGAAAAGCCAGAGGGACTTTACAGCCTAGACCTGGTACAGCAGAACCTCCACTTAACCCGGTTTCAGATTCAGATGTTTTTATCTGTGGACTAATAAAAATACAGCAGAACCTCCGCTTACGATGGCCTAAACATACAAACACCAAAAGTAAATTCGATATTAGCCAAAACTAGCGAGCCCGATTGGTACTATTCGGTCACGTGGGCTAAAGCATACTATATCCGAATATTTCTACGTAGCGACTGCATCTAGTAATTAGCCAATTTTCCCTCCCGGCTGGTCATTGGGGACGTTAGCTGCTCTGAGGAGACGTCACTAAAGCTCAGTTTGGCTCACAGAACCAGGATTTCAGACTTCAAAAGTCACTTTGAACGTCATATACCGGCAAAGTCACGTTAACGCAAAACAGCAGAAAGGGGACGAACGGTCCGGCGTCTGATGGGTTTAACGGCGGCGTGGCGGGGTTTGGGTGTGGAGAACCACACGGAAAAGCGCACGGCTCGGGGGTTTTCAGAGGACTGTGTCAGAACCGGGCTCTAGTCGCTCCCTTTAGCATCAGATGCTATCACATAATCCATGTAAATGACTGAGGTCAACACACACACACACACACACTTTGTTTGCACATTCCAGGGAAATCTGCATGAATTAGCAGCTTAAGTGTTCATGTCAGAGCTAACTGGCCAATAACACTCTGTTTCAGAACCATCCCAGAAGATAAACGTCCATCACACCTGGATTTCGGGCCTCTGGCCGACTGTGAGCTTTGTGGGTCAGAGCCCAGAGCTGATTTACTCTACCTGTGACCAGTAAATGTCATATTTCTACTGATCTGCTCTGGTTTATTCTCAGGCTTCCAGCTAAAGAATCAGGCTGACAGCTGAGAGAAAAACGGGGACATGAATAATGTAGAAACTGCTTCCACTCAAACAGGAGGCTGAAAATCTGCTGAGGAACAGCAGCACAAACGGAGCAGAGCGTTTCCAGCCACCAAACCCTAACCCTGACCCAAACCCTAACCCTAACCCAAACCCTAACCCTGACCCAAACCCTAATCCCCTAACACTAACCCCTAACCCTAATCCTTAACCCTAACCCCTAATGGTTACCCCTAACCCTCAATCCAAACCGTAACCCTAACCCTAACCTTAACCCCTAACACCCTAACCCAAACCCTTAACCCAAACCCCAGCCCCTAACCAAACCCCAACCTAGCCCAAACCCCTCACCTAAGCCTAACCCAAACCCTAACCCCTAACCCAAACCAGAGGCTTTTAAAGGAGCCCCTTACTGTTTTTATTAGAGTCTAACTGGGTTTTAATGCCTGAACCAGAACCAGTGGTTTAGCTGCTGAGATTAGACCCAACATAGATTTAACCCTTTCATGCACAGCTGTTTAAAGGCCATTTTCCTCTGTTTTTCCTGCAATTTTTATGCTTTAAATGCCCACTGAAGTGGACAGAGTTTCATCATGCTACAAAAATAAATGTCCACATTAATGTCCTCATAAAGAGGAGCTGATGTATAAGCTGCATGCTTTTCTGGTAATGTCACAATGTGTTCACATCATAACATTCAGAGGAAGAAATCCTAAAATGTTTGCTCTCCACTGGAGTAAACATCTGGAAAAATGCTTGAATAAACTAAATGTTTGACTAAAAAATTAAGTTTGGGTAAAAAAAAAAGAAAAAGTTTAATGTCTTCAGAAAAACTCATTGGAAAAAAATATCCTGGCATGATGAACTCGTGCAAGAAAGGGTTAAAGCAGGAGTTCATTTTCGAACCAAGGAAAGATTTAAGAAAGGTAAAACCATGATAACAGGGAGGAGTACGGTGGCCCAGAGGGGTCAGGACAAGCCATAAATTGAATAAAAAAGCCACAACACAAATAAACAAGCCATAAAATCAAATAATGCTTCACCTGCTTCTCAAACGGGCAAAATTTGTCTTCTGTTAGCAAGCTAAGCTCCTCTTCCTGTTGTGTCATTCAACAGGAACTTCTGTTGTGCTTTTGTATTTGTGTTGAGGCTTTTTTATTTGTCCTGACACCTCTGGGCTACGGTGGCCCGGAGGTGTCAGGACAAATAAAAAAGCCACAACACATATAAAAAAGCTTGAAACACAAATAAAAAAGTTGAAACAAATTTAGAAAAGGCACAACACAAATAAAAAAGCCACAAATTGAAGAAAAAAGCCACAAATTGAAGAAAAAAGCTACAACACAAATAAAAAGGGAACAAATTACATAAAAAGCCACAACACAGATTGCATTTGTCCTGACACCTCCGGGCCACCGTATGAAAGGGTTAAAGATTAAGGAAAGATAAAAACAACTGGAGTCTGCAGCCTGTCTGTTATAACTTGGACATTTTGGGACAGAAGTCCATCCACTATTTAGCCGGACAGCCAGCTAAAGCCCGCCGTTAACCAGGGGACAGGACCCCAGACCCAGAATCCTGGACAGGAAGCGGGCGCAGAGCTGGATGTGACAGCAGAACCGGGCAGTACAACCCAGGGGAGACCACAATAAAGACCCTGGGAACAAGCCACTGGGCCCAGCTTCCCCTTACAGGAGCTGAAACGAAGCTTTACATCGGCTTTCTACCACCAGAGCAAGAAAACAACGGGGAAAAGGCAGCTTCAGGCTCCTAAAGTGGGACATTTTAGCTAAATCTAACCTGTTTAGCTAAATTTACTTAAAAAAGCAGAACTAGATCAGTATTTGGATGGAAATGTCCACAAATATGACGTTAAAAAAAGTATATGTAGATCAGTTTTTAGATGAAAATGTCCACAAATTAGCATTAAAAAGCATTTTTAGACGGAAATGTCCACAAATGGGACATTAAAAAGCAGATTTGGATCAGTGTTTAGCTGGGAATGTCTGAGCTTTAGAGCAGGACAGTGATGGGGATGTGTGGGCTGGAGGGCGCTGGTGGGAGCGGAGCTCTGGCTGTGATTGGTGGAGGCAGTTTGGGAGCCAGGTCGTCGTACCTGGAGGCATCAAAGCTGTCGTAGGAGCCCACTGTGTAGTGTCTGAAGAGCTTCCGTCTGTCGGCCCGGTCCGCTCGGGAATCTGCCAGGAAAAAGCACAGCGCCAGGGATCAGAGTCTGAAACGGGATCAGAGCCCCGAAACAGGATCAGAGCCCCGAAACGGGATCAGAGTCTGAAACGGGATCAGAGCCCAAAACGGGATCAGAGCCCTGAAACAGGATCAAAGGCCTGAAACGGGATCAAAGGCCTGAAACGGGATCAGAGGCCGAAACAGGATCAGACCTTGAAACGGGATCAGAGCCCTGAAACGGGATCAGAGTCCGAAACGGGATCAGAGCCCAAAACGGGGTCAGAGCCTGAAACGGGATCAGAGCCCTGAAAAAGGATCAGAGCCCGAAACGGGATCAGAGCCCTGAAACGGGATCAGAGCCCTGAAACAGGATCAAAGGCCTGAAACGGGATCAAAGGCCTGAAACGGGATTAGAGGCCGAAACAGGATCAGAGCCTGAAACGGGATCAGAGCCCGAAACGGGATCAGAGGCCTGAAAGGGGATCAGACCCCGAAACGGGATCAGAGCCCTGAAACGGGATGAGAGCCCTGAAACAGGATCAAAGGCCTGAAACGAGATCAAAGGCCTGAAACGGGATCAGAGGCCGAAACAGGATCAGAGGCCGGAACAGGATCAGAGCCTGAAACGGGATCAGAGCCCGAAACGGGATCAGAGGCCTGAAACGGGATCAGAGCCCTGAAACAGGATCAAAGGCCTGAAACGGGATCAAAGGCCTGAAACGGGATCAGAGGCCGAAACAGGATCAGAGGCCGGAACAGGATCAGAGCCTGAAACGGGATCAGAGCCCGAAACGGGATCAG